ACACCATCCGTGCCAGGGCCACACCTCCATGTGCTCAATGTGTCTCAAGTGGGAGTTCTTAGTGGCCAGCAGCAACCCCCGGGCTTCATCCAGCTGGGTCTTCACTTGCAGGGATTCATTGTAAAGCAGTGAGAACTGGGCCTGGAGCATTCGGTACTCTCCGGTCTCACGCACCACCTCCTCAGGAAGGCTCCGCAGGGCCACCTAAGGGGGAGGACACCCAAAGGGGGTCAGAAAGAGGATATGGGGGCCAGCCACTATCTTGGGGCCTAAGCCCTCTCACTCCCAAACACAGCCTACCTTGAGGCGTTCATTGGTCCTAACAGCCCCCTGAAGTTCGGCCTGCAGCTTCTCCAGCTCTGCCATGCGGCTATTGGCCAGTTCCTGGTTTTCCTCCAACTCTGCATTCAACATCTCAAACTAAGGAGTGGGAGAGGCTGTGGTCAGCAGGGCCAGGATGGGCAACATCTCCTCTCACACCCCACCATGTGCTGCACCCAAGACCCCTGTGCAGAACACTGACAGACTCTGAAGCCCCGAACCAGACTTCCTTCAGGACTCCCAAACAAGCAGGAGGAAACTGCACACTACAAGGGAGTACTGGATACTGGGGACTAAGATTCTCAGCTGACAGGGGTCAGTGAAGTGGTGCTGAAAACCTAAAGAACAAACTCAAGTAAAGGGAAAAGAAGGCACAGGGACCTCAGAAGGCCAATGGACTTTAACTCCCATTTATCTCTCTCTCTGTGCCTTTTTTTTTTTTTTTTTTTTTTTGGTGGTACTTATAACTAGCTGATCTACTATTTTATCTCTTACCTGTTTCCCCAACTGGAATCTATGCTCTATGGAAGTTCTAGTTTTAATTTAGCCATCCTCTCCAATTTGCCTAGCACTCAGTGCTCAGGATTAGGTAAGTAAAAATGTAAGTGAATGAGGCCTGGGGATTTAGCTCAGTGGTGCCGTCGCCTGCTTTGCAAGCGCAAGGTCCAGAGTTCAATCCCAGGCACCAAAAAGCAAAAAAGAGAATGAAAGAAGGCTCTGAGAATGAGAGGGAAGAGCCTCAGAGGTACACGTTTGCCCTTAGTTCTCAGGAGAATTTAGGGGAATATCATGGCCGGACAGAGAAAAAGCTACAAGAGAGACTGGGAGGGATGATGCCGCTCACCTTCTGCATGCTGAGTGTGATCTGGCCCCCTTGGAAGCCTGAGGAGCTCCCGGACACATAGTACCCAGAGTTGAGCTGAGAAAAGAGAAAGATGATGAATGTGAAGGACAGGAAGTAGGGGCTGGATTCCCAGTACCCCAGCCTCACCTGCTCCAAGGCCTCTGCCAGGTGCTTATTGAGCTTTTGCTCTCGTTTGCGAAGCTTCTCAATGTCCCACTGCAGGTCCTCCACCGTTGTCTCCATCTCTAACACCTTGGTTTCAGCTGATGTCACTTTATCCTGGAGCTCAGAGTACTGGGGACAGTGGAAGGAAAGATCAGGGTTTTCTGAGATCCTTGGGTGCCCATCTAACCCCAACCCTGTGCTGGTTCTAATTCCACCCCTAAAACTTGACTCCCACCTCCAGTGAGATTCGGTGGTGCTTCTCTTGCAGCTGAGTGGCCAAATCTTGCAGTCGCCGGTTCTCCCGGCCCAGCTCTCTCGTGCGTGCCCGAGCCACCTCACTGGGAGGCTCACCGTCCACTGGGAAGGGAAGGCCCAGGTAAGAGGCAAACCCTGGCAAGACGGCAAGGTGCCAACTCTTCAGTATGTGCCTAATGTGATCTACCAGCTGTCTTGCCTGTATCTCATGACAAAGTAAGGGGTTTTTTGTTTTGTTTTGTTTTTTGAGACAGAGTCTTGCTACGTAGTCTAGGCTGGCCTTGAACTCCTATGTAATCCAGGCTGGCCTCAAACTTATGATGATCCTCTTGCCTCAGCCTCCAGAGTGCTGAGATTATAGGCATGCACTACCATGCCCAGGTAAAGTAAAAAGTTTTTATCCCCACTGCACAAAGGAGGAAATCAGCTCAGAGAGAATGGGTTTTTGCCCCAAAAAGCCCAGGTTAGGGAGGCAGAACTACAGATGGGAGAAACCTGTCAACATCCAAAGCCTGTGGATCAACAACTGTTACTTAAATTTGCACAGCACTTGGGAGGCTGAGGCAGGAGGATCACTGAGTTCAAGGCCAGCTTGGCCTACACAGTGAGACCTTGCTTCAAAAAAAAAAAAAAAAAAAAAGTCTGCACAAAGTGCTCCAGCAGAGAGGTGTCTAACCAGAAGGGGGTCACCAGCGTCAACTACTCCTCCACCCCACCAGCATCAACTACTCAACTACTCCTCCTCCTGGAGTTCAACTCCAGGAATCCAAGTTGGAATCCTCCATCTACAGACTAACCTTGTCCCCAAGAACATGCTGATTTGTTTCTTGGAGAATTCTGGGCTCAGGGCATTAGCATAATAGGGAGCATCAATACACAGAGCAATACACATCGAGAGTACAGAAGGTACAGAGAACTAACCTCGGCTGTACACTCGTTGACAGAGTTCCTCTACCCGGCGCTGTAGGCAGTCTGAAGCCTCTACCAACTGGGACACGGCTGCCTTGGAGAATTCCATCCGGCCCTGTAGCTGCAGTTCCACTTCCTCACTGCTGCTGGCACCCAGTGCCACTACAAAAGCCAAGGCTGGCTCACTGAGGGGGGGTCGCAGCTGCACTGGTAGGGGTTCTGGGAGGGACAGACAAACCGTTATGAAAATAACAGCAGGAGTGCCTGCCAATCTGGACCGAGTTTCAGAGTGAGCCCTTCCATGGCTCACTTACCGAATCTGTACTGCACTATTATTCCCAACTCGTGATGTTCAGGGAGATACAGTCATTTCCTCAAGCCTACAGAGCTGCCAAATCACTTCTTCAAGGAAGCTTCCTCCCCCTTCCCAGTCTAAGGAGAACCCACAAAACACATGCACCCACATTTATTTCCTGTCAGAGGCCCTAATACTTTTTACTTATTATAGTTTTAGGATAATTTCTTCTCTGAGAGCAGGAATATTTCTTTCGGTTTGTCTCTGATTTCTCCAAGTCTAGAAAAGCGTTAAGTCATCACTCAACAACTTTTTTGTTTTTAGTTACTGGAGATGGACCCTGGCCCTCTGTACTAAGCTACATCCCAGCCCTTTCTGTGTTTGCTTTTTGTTTTTGTTTTTTGAGTCAGAATCCTGCTAAGTTGCCAACACTGGGCTTGAAATTGAGAGCCTTACCCTCCCACAGTGCTGGAATTACAAGCATGCACCCTGATGTCTAGCTCACAATATTTTCTGAAGTAAAAGGGTAACAACACGAATACCATTATGATCCAAATTAGATTCTAAGACCTCTGTTCTCACCTACTGCCTTTACTGCCCAAACATGAAATCAATTTTTCAGGGGTGGTGGATGGGATGGGGGTTTTAGTTCCCTAGACCCTAAGGTTCTGGCCCTACCCCTCAGCTCTGATGTCCCTGGCTCCGTGAGAGGGATCATATCACGTGTTGGCCCCTCCTGGGTCCCAGGTGCCTCCATCCTTGCAGAGAGGTCCTGTTGATTCTCATGGCATCGGAGAAGAGCTTCCACAGTTTCATCTAGCTGAAGGGGAAAAGCACCAAAAATGTTATGAATTCCTCAGTGCTTTCCAGCATGATTCTCCTTCCCCAGCAGGGCAATTTGAAAACTGGCAACTGAATCAAGCTCAGGTCTCTGAAAGCAGAGGGCATCAACCTGGGCCCAGTAGCGATTGACAATGAGGAGTGTGACATCATCTGTGGCCTGCCGCTTCTCCAACTTTTCAATTCGTTCTCGGAGTTCATCTTCACAAGCTTGTCGCTGTTCCAATCTCTCGGCTAGCTTCTTGTTCTTGAATTGTAGTACCTTCAAGTCCATCTCCTCCTACCATGAAAAACAAAGATGTCAAGAAGAACGTGTGGTAAGTGGGTCTCAGAAACTACAACACAGTAGGAAAACAAGTGAAATGAATAGCAGGGGAATACTCCCAGACTACCTGACAACAAGATTTAAGAAGGGTCAGACACCACAGAAAAACCATCTTGCTTAAAGAAAGCTCAACTTACCCTTCTGCCTCTGTCCCTTTTGTTTTGTTTTAGAGACATTGTCTTGCTACTTAGTTCAGGCTGGCTTGAATTATGTAGCTAGCTCACACTGGCCTCAAATTTGAAACGATCACCCTGCCTCAGCCTCCTGAGTGCTAGGATTACAGGTGTGCATCATCACGCCTGACTTCTGTCCCTAAATCTGAAGTTTTTAACATATCGCACACTCTCTGGGAACCTATTTTTCTATCTGCAAAGGGAAGGCAGATGTGGCGTTCTCGGTTTCCTTCAACAGAATGTGCTGTAAAGTGCACGTTGCCATGCCTGGGAAACTGCCAATAAGATTATGGGCAGTTTGGGCGGAGACAGGAATCTAGCCAAGTTCTCAGGACTAAGGCAAAAGCCCACGGACCGTGGAAGAAATGCCTCCAAGGCGAATGGGCTCGATAAGAGTGGTTGTGGTCTTCTCCTCGCGGCTCAGCTTTTTCTCTGGGGGCCCGGAGCCCCCATCGCCCGCGGCGCGTTTGTTGCCCGGCCCAGACATAGCTGCGGGCAGCAAGGAGCGGCGCAGGGTCCACCGAGGGGCTTCAGGCAAGGGGAGGCGACACTTCCGTTATCTGCAGAAGACAGAACAGAGATGTAGAAGGGGCCAGTCCTCCACAGCCACGAGCCTCTCTACTGCACATACTCGCGGGATCCTGCCCCTACCAGCCCGAGGTCCTCACCGAGACGAGGGTCAACCTAGCGCCGCCATCTTGGATTCCACTGGACGTCACTAGCCTCCCCTGCACAGAGCGCAGGCGCCAGAGGCTGCGCCGGATGTGGCGAAGCTTCATTTCCTGTACCTATCGGTCGCACTTGGCCCCGCCTCTCGGATCTTTCGGCTACTTCCTGAACACCTCCTTTTGCACTCGGTGATTGGACAGTAGGCGGTTCCCACGGTAACTGATTCCGCACTATCCTCTTGGCCACCTCCGAGAACAATGCCAGCCATCAACAATTTGGAAGGGGGCACCTAAGTGGGCACTTGCAATCTACTACGCATGCGCGTTCGCTCCTCACTGACGGAAGTATGTACTTGAACTTTCCACCTTTCTCCTTCACGGCCACCTTAGTAACGGTTCACCATGGAGACGATGGGAGACGCCCCCCCCCCCGATTGGCTGCGCCCAGCCTCGCTGCGGCGTAGATTGGTTGGAAAGTCACTACAGGGCCAGGACTTGGCAATCGCTGCTCGAAAACTGGTTGTCCCATAACCTAGATGCGACATGATCAGCCCAAAACCAAGCCAGTCCCTGGGAGTCAAGGTACAGTCCAAACTGGAACAGCTCTCGGAACCACAAGGGGAACTGGAGAAGGATCTTAGTCCATTGGTTAGATCGGCCATGCAGATAGGAACAGGTGTGCGGACCGAGTTGGCAACAGCGGCCTCTGTCCCCGTGGAAGTGGATGAAGATCCTGAAGTCAACTTGTTTCCGGTGAGAGCGAGACAGAGTGGTCCTCTCGGGAATCGTATAGGAAGATTTCCGCAGCAGGGGGCCGCCCTTCGTTACCTTTGCTAACGTTCCTTCCCCGGGTGCCTTGGCACCAAGGCAGAGAGAGACAGGGAGGTGTGACCCGATTGTTAACATGCTCATAAGTAGTACTTGGGGCCTTCTGGGGCCCAGACCCGCCTGCATTGCTCTGCATAGTCCTAGAGTTGAGGAGATAAATCTAGCGTGTTCTCAGCGCCCTGGCCCGAGGAGATTCACGACAGACCAGGGACTAGGGCCAGGCGCAGCACAGCTCGCCCTAAGCATTGCACCTTCTCTCGCAGCCGCCACTGCCCCAGCCCCGGATCTGCTTGTGGTGAGTGAGAAGAGCCCTGGGAAGGGCCGGGGGTGAGCTCAGTGGCGCTGCGCTGGCCTGGCAAGCGCAATGTCCTGAGCTCGATTCTCGGTACCAAAAAAAAAAGAGCCGTGGGAACCTTACACGTCACACTTGCATTATTCCTTTAGCCAGGGCTTCCCCATTTTACAGATGAGATTGAGACTCAGACATGCTTTCCAGGCTCCCAGTCCAAAGAGGCAGTATAAAAAGAGAGCCAAGGCCTGAAGATATAAATGGAAACGGAATGTCTCAGTTGCCATAGCGCATTGTACAAACAGGGATACTGAGGTCCACCCTGGGGCACGGGGGCTCACCAAAGCCATACAGCAAGGCAGTAGAGCAAAGATAAGAACTCAAGTTCCCTAATTATAGGCTTTATAAATGGAGAGGATCATGAGTCTAGGCTGTGTACCTCAGTCACAGATGGAAGGGAGTCAGCAGAGCTGAGAGACCTGGCAAAGGCTGCACAGCACATTAGTGAGAGCCAAAACACAGGCCTCCTGAGTCCTGGTCTGCCACTTTAATGATTATGTGCCCACCACCACTGCCTTGTCTCCCCACCTTCTACAGGAAATACCTGGACCTCCATTCCATGCACCAGCTGGAAAAGACAGCCAGTGTTGAGGAGATGAGAGAGTATGACCAACCGATCAGGGTGGGGAAGAACTCTTAGGAAGGGAAGACAGAGTGGCTGGCTCCCAAGCACTCGGTGAGTGTAGGCCTGTGAAAGAGGGTTCTCACCATCGCTCACGCCTTCCTCTCCCTCCCAAGGGTGTTGGCCAAGTTGCTGGAGATTGACTGGCCTGAGCAGAGCTTGCGGGATGCCGTCACCCTGGACCTCTTCTCCCATGCCCTCATCTTCTGCCACCAGCAGAGCTTCTCACTAGAGCAGACATCGGCAGCATGTGCTCTGCTCCAGGATCTTCACCAGGCCTGTGTTGGTGAGAGAGAGGCAGCTGCCAGAAAGTTAGAGCCCCAAGGATAGGAGTTAGGGCTGGCTCAAGGGACCATGGGTAGCAGAAGCAGAGGTGTTACCACGTGGAATCTTTGTTCTGCCATTATTGGTTGTAGTGTCACACACCTTTTATTGCCTTTGACATCTATGTCTTTATCAGTAAATTAAGGGCCAGACATGGTAGTGCATGCCTGTAATCCCAGTACTCAGGAGGCTGAGGCAGGAGGATTGCCTCAAGTTTGAGGCCAGCCTGGGCCACGGAGTGAGATCAAGTTCAGCCAGAACTACTTAGCAAGTAGTCTCAAAATGCAAAACTAAACAACCCAATCAATAAATTAAGGACACGGCACTAATTTTATGGCACTGTTCTGAGATATTATATGCAGTGTTCAATAATGTAGCTTCTACATTCCCTGCCTTTAATTCCCATGCTGATTTTCTTCAGAATGTTTAATACCTGAAATTACATATTTCTTTTATTGTATTCCCCTTCCACTAGAATATAAGCTTTCTCAGTACAGGACCTTGTCTGTCTTGTTCAGTGCCTAGAATGGTACATAGTGAGGACTCGGTTGAATGAATTAAACAAGTGAGGATTAACATAGATCTGTCCACCTCTGAAGTCCACACTCCCTAAGAAGTGAGCTGAAGGCATGGAGGGCAGGGAGGGACTCACGACTGCACCTTGCTTTCTCTACCAGCAACCCCCTTGGGCAACGTGGAGGAATGCTACCGCTACTTTACCACTGCTCTCTTCAGCCATGGAGTCAGGGTCAGTACCCTGGAGTGGATGTCGGTCTCACCCTGTCTCCTGCCCACCAGCCTCACTCTCCTCTGAGAGCTGCAGTGGGCTTTCCCTGCTCCTAGACAGCTGGGATCTTGGAGGAAGGGCCAGGGCTTCAGGAGACCATGAGCACTAACTCCAGTCCTCGCTGCAGCGGCCCCCCTTCAGCATCGACCTCTTTAAGAAAGAACAGCTGCTGGCCCTGGCAGACTATGTGGTCAACACCTACTTCCGTCACTTCAAGCTCTACAAATATGTGTTCACACCACAGGTACTGTGCCATGGGATGCAAGAGGTCACCCTGTCTCCCACGCCTCAGTACAGGCGCCTTCCTCTCAGCCTCCCTTGTCCTGTCTTCCCAGGTGCGGCTGGATCTGTCTTTGACTTACATGGGGCTACAGCCACCCAAGCCTTGGCCCGCGGGTAAGACAGGTATGGGAGAGCACAGTGCTAGGGCTGGGCCAGGGCTGGGGCCGAGGCCTCTTCCTGTTTCTGGTTTGCAGAGAAAGAAGGGCAGGAAGCGGACCAGCAGGCAGCTACCCAACAGGAGGAAGAGCCGGAAACAGTGGCCCAGCCAGTGCGAGAGCCAGGTGAGCACCTGGGAGGGGTTCGGGTGCCCCGCGACTCTGAGCAGGTGTAAAATGAAGGTTTGGAGCACATCAGGACTTCAGACTTCTTAGTTTTAGTTTGGTTTGTGTCCTTGTCCAAATGATTCCTTATTCAGAAATCCAAGGTGACAAATAGATATGAGCACATCGGCTGGGAGCTCAGGGGGAGGCAGAGGAGGTAGTTCCAGACACAGCTGCACAGTGAATGACAGTGACAGCCAGCATGGATTTGGTAATGATGGGTACCAGGATGCCTGGTTCCATGCATTTTGTGTGTATTAATTCAATCTTCCCCCAATCCTGTGTACTGGGGTTATTATTATCCACACTTTACACAAGGAAACTGAGGCATGGAAAGGTTCGATGACCTAAGGTCACGTAATTGCCAAGCTGCAGTCTGAGTATGAATCCAGGAGACCCAGTGCAGGCCCGAGCCCACCTGTGACTCCCTCAGGGGCTGGCTGGCTGCCTCCTCTAAACTGTGAAGCCCCGGGGGCAGACACCCGGGGATAGTCCCCCAGACAGCATCTCTCCTGACCTACCCCTCCCCTGCCCCACAGGCCAGGTCTGTCACCTCCGAACCTACATCAAGACTCAGGTGCACAAGGAGCTAGGGCAGCTCCAGCAGCTGGCAGAAGAGCAGCTCAAGGCCAGTGAGGAAAGGCTCAGCAGCAAGTTGACTGCCCTGGAGCGGCCCTCCCAGGTACCACCCAGCAAAGGCAAGAACAAGATGAAGTGATCCCCAGAAATTTCCCCAATAAAGGCCAGAGCTAGAGCGTGGCCCACCACCTCTGCCCCCAGCACCTTCTGGGCTGAAGCCAGTCAGCGGACACAAGGCACTCACGACCCCTGGGTGTGCAACAGATTTTATTTCAGATACAGCACAGGCAGCACTGATGCAGCTGGGCATGGCTTTTGGAGTGGCTCTTCCACCCCAGCTCTGATCTCCAAGCCTTGGCCAACAGGGTAGGCTAGAGTTGGTCTCTATGACAGGAGCACACCACGAGGGCTAGGCAGACAGCCTGAGGTAAGGCCTCAGAGGGGCCGGAAGGGTTCAGACCTCCCGAGGAATCCTGCATCTGAGCTTCCTCAGGGGTGAGGACCTAGCCAAGCACCCGTGCTGCCTCATCCTCGGCAACAGCAGTGGAGTCCCCCTCCTCTTCAGGGCCGATGAGAGGAAAAGGCCCAGTGGGCCGGTGCTGGAAGAGGGCTGCTCGGTTCTGCTGCTCACCCTTCTTCACCCAGTGCCCATAGAGCCGGAAGGCACAGCTGTCGATGAGGCGCCGAACAGGCCGCAGTGCATAGGGGTCCCTTAGCAGTGCACTCTTGGTCAGTGGCCGCGCGCGGCGGGTACTTAAGGCCACTCGTCCAGCAGCCAGCACTGTCCACACTGCCACCTGGGAAAGGGGGAGTATGAATTCCAGCAAAGCATCTGACACGAGGGAAAGGTCAGCAGGCAGGTGCAGACACTGCCACTCAGGCTTACCCGGAAGCGCTGGTGGGGTCTAAGGTTCCAGAGTTGGCTACCTTCACAGCGCTCAAAGAAGGGATGCTGTAGGGCCTGCTCAGCTGTCAGGCGCACCTCAGGATCTACCTGCAGCAGCCTCGAGATCTAGGGAAAACCCAGAGTATGAGGGGCAGACCTTGGGCCTCCCCCGCTGTCCTCTGATGGCCCCACCTCACCAGGTCTTTGACAGTGTCTGAACGGTCGTCCCACTCAGGTGAACTGAACTGGTACCGGCCCTCCATGATCATGCGTAACATCAGGATCTGGCGTCGGTGCCAGAATGGGGGTGAGCCAGCCAGGAGTGTGAACAGGATCACCCCACAGGCCCAGCTGGGAAAGAGCAGAGTCAGGCAGGCCTAGGTTACAGCCAAACCTGAAGGGCAGTACCCACAGCAAGGACAGGAAACTAGAAACTCACAGGTCGACTTCCTTGCCATAGCCTGGGTGGGTTTCATCCATGGAACATTTCAGGATCTCTGGGGCTAGATACCCTGGGGTTCCACACAGCTCTGGGGAGAAAGGCAGAGATTGAGGGGATGCCACTTGCCCCTCCAAGGCCCTGAGCAGCAGATCTGTGCTGGAACCCTCTCAGCACTGTCAGAGTCTGACGTGTTCTACTGTGCTGCTTCCGGCTTAGCCTCAGAACTGCACAGCGACTCTGCCAGAAAATTCAAATACCCACTGAGGCTCCCAGTTGCCCTCCTAAGAAAATGTGGTTTGGGGACTGACTTCAAGGTCTTACCCAACCATGTCTTTTGCCTCCTCCAACCCTTCAGCCAAACCAACCTGCCCATCCACTCATACAACTTGTTACCACATTTCTAAATACCTCATACAAATGGAAAAGGAAATTTAAATTTTTGGTGTTCTTTTCTGCCCATACTTAATTTCCACTCTGGTTGGTGGAACCATTCCTCAACCCAAGGGGAACAAGTGGAAGTACAGGTTTCTTAAAAGCACATACTGGGTGAATCCCTTGTGCCAAATACTTTCCTGTTCCCATCGTGGAATCAAGTCAAGTTTGGAAGCCTGAGGTCCAGAGCCTCCCAGGACTCTGGACTTGATCTAGTCAATACTTGTATTCTACCACTCTGGCCACCAGTTCATCCATTCCAGCAATCTCCAGATGGCATACATCCAGATTTTAATAGGACTAAGTTAAGCTGAAAGTTACTTTCTTGGGAAATTCATTCATAGACAAAATACTTATGGAATGCATTGTATGTAGCAAGCATCCTATTAGACACAGAATTAGATATGCCCCAGAACTCGCCGTCTTCCGGAAAGGAAAGAATAGAATAAGAAATGTGTCAAAAACCAAAACAGAGGGCCCGGCCTGACCTGGAGACTGAAAGTAAAATGAATTACTCAAGCTGAGGGAGAGGGTGGAATAGGCAGGACCAAAGATGATTCCAGAAGTGTATGTAAGAAGTGAGGTGCAGTGGCAGATGCGGATAAACTCAGCTACTTGAGACTGAGGCAGAAGATTCACAAACTCAAGGCCAGTCCAGACAACTTATTAGCAAGACACTATCCAAATTTTTTTCTTTGTAGTTAGAAAGGTATGGAGATATAGTTCAGTGGTAGAGTGCTTACCTGGCATGTGTGAGTCCAGGGGTGCAATCAGCAATACCAATCCCCTCCCCCCAAGAAGTGTTTGTCTCAAAGGGAACTAAAGCACAGCGTGGTAAAACAAAGTGCATAGGTTAGTGTAAGCTCAAGTCAGACCACCTAGGTTCAAATCGTGGCCAGGTCACCTTGGGCAAGTCATCTTTTAAGCCCACCTATTGAAAAGAGACACAAATACTCTGTCCAAAGGTTGAAATGGTTCCGAGAAATCAGCCATGGGAAGGCTTTGTGTGCCTGCTTCATGGGTAAATCCCCAGTAAGTTACCTATTAATAAATCCAGGGAAGTTGGGTGTGCTGGCGCACACCTGTAATCCCAGCACTCTGTGAGGCTGAGGCAGGAGGACTGCAAATTCAAGCCCAGTCTGAGCAATTTAGGGAGACCCTGTCTCGAAAAATAAAATGGAGATGTTTCTTGGTGCAAAGGCCCTAGGGTCAGTCTCCAGTACTGCAAAATAACAATAGTAATAAAATAAATCCAATGCAAAGCCACTGAGGCAGAAGCTCTAGCATATTCCAAGCTCTGAGAGAGTGGGGGTATAGTTCTGCAGTACAGCACATGCCCAGTATGTGCGAGACCGTTGGTTCCTTCCCCAGTTCCGCAAAAGAAAAAAGGGTGAATTTAGTTTAATGTCTCTCCTTCGCACTAGACATATTTCTTGTTGCCGGGTGTGGTGGCACACACCTGCAATCCCAGCACTGGGGAGGCTGAGGCAGGAGGATCCGTGAGCGTACAAGGCCAGCCCGGATGCATAGTGAGACCAAACACTAAATACTTTTATCATGACAAACGTATCGATACGTGGGGGACCCCAAGTCCCGGTGTGCAGGGTAAGAAGTTAATCGGGCCCTCTGGGCAGGCCAGGCTTTTCGCAGCACCCCACAGTTGCCTCATCCAGATCCCAGACACACTGGCAAACCCTTGGTCCCTTTCCAGGCGGGCACTGGCTCCATGGAGCTCCACCCCGGTCTCTCTGGGACAAGCCTCAGCCCCAGAGGCCCCTCTGTGGACCCTCAGACTAAATCTATGCTTCCCTTCTGGCTTCCAGAGTGGCCTTTGCCAGCTCTGTGCCTGTCTGCTTCCCCAGGTGTACCCCTCCCAGGTCAGGGCAGCCACTCTGAGCTGCATGAAAGGCTCTGGGTCCAGTAGATGCTTGGCAAGTGCTGACTCCCCTTCCCTGGTGCCCAAGACTCAGTACGGAGACCCAGCCAACCCAACTTCAGCCCGGGTCTCCCTCCCTCCCAGACCTTTTAGGGAATTAAGTTCCCTCACCTCGAAGCTTCTCTGCAGGTCCCAAGTGGCAGGAGAACCCAAAATCTGAGAGTCGGATCTGCATATTGTCATCTAGGAGAATATTCTCAGGCTTCAGGTCTCGGTGTACAATGTTGTTGGCATGGAGAAAGCGCACTGCTTCCAGCAGAGACCGCAGGATGGACCTAGGGAGGTGCAGTCTCCTACTCTGCTTCTTTCTGCCCACCCACTCCCTGCTCAGCCCAGGGGCTACAGGCTGTGCCATTACCTGGTTTCCTTCTCTGAAAGGGCCACCTTCTCTGTGAGATAGTCAAACAGCTCTCCCTTCCGCATCCTGGAACAGCAGGGGCACAGGCGAGATGCACCCCATGGTAGGGGCTGAGAAAATGAGCCAGGTGGGGCTCCCAGAAATATCACAGAAGAGGCCAGTGTGAGGCTCCCCTGGGGACAAGCCAAGGGGCCTGCAGGCAGAGCACTCCAAGGGTCTATGAGACACCAGGGTAGTTTGTCCTGTCTCAGTCTCACTGTGCTGTGATCGGGCTCTTTACCAAGAGTCAGCGACTTCTTGTGACATAATTTATAAGTGGTCCTTGTCATCTGAGAAAATTATACCTGAAAAGCTCCTCTTAAAATGGAGTATTTACAGCTCTGTGTCTCTTCCAATAGTCACCATCCTGCACAGCTGTCTGAGGGTGGAATGGATACTCCCCAAGCCCCTTGGTACCAATGGCCATTTCTGTAAATATTCTGAAGCCTTCATGGGGTTTTTCAAGGGCCCCTCTTAAATCTTTGGTATTCAAGTCATTCTCTTTTGAAATGACCTTTGCAGTTGGTTTGAATTATTATATAAAATTTGATATTCAGATTCAGACAAACCAGAAAAACAAAGGGCAGCGACAGACAGCATAAGAGGCCGGTGAGTGGACATACTTTATATGGGCTCACTTCATTCCTGAACTCTCTCCTTTTATTTTTTTATTTTTTTGGTACTGGGGATTGAACTCGGGACCTTGCGTTTGCGAGGCAGGCGCCAGAACCACTGAGCTAAATCCCCAGTCCTGAACTCTGCCCTCTTAAAGGAGCTCCCCCTGCTCACTCTATAACCATGGGGGACTGGGTCAAGAGAACTCTTTTACTTGGTCAAAATTATTCAATCGTGGCGCATACAGAAAAGGCCAGAGCTGCGGGCCAGTAGGCGCAACAGACAGCCCTGGCTAGAGCAGAGGAAGGTGTGACAGTGGTCTCCGGGGCAACACGTGCAGGTGGGGACAGGGTGGCGGGGGAGATACTCACAGGTCAAACACCAGGAACATGAAGCTAGGAGACTCGTAGGAATCGATGAGAGTGACTGCAGAAAGACACGGAAAGGCAGAGGTAGAGATGGAAAGCAGTGGCTCCGCCA